ATTGTTTAAATACACGTACGAGTGTAATTTTACTGCTAAAAAGGATCACAGAATAAAATTAATGCATAAAAAGGTGAATAAAAGCTTTAAAATAATTGCTTTTTTTGGGAGGAGGCAGAATCTTACAGAACACCCAATGTATCATCACAAGCTGCCACAGCTGTTGGCTAAAATGTAATATTTTCCTGGCATTAGATATCTCTAGAAGCTAATAGATATAATGAAAAGGGCATGTCTAGAGACAATAATGTAAATTTTGAATAACGTTTTTAGGTTTCTTTTATGTAATAATAACACCAGCACACAAAAATACCTACCGGCATGTATTTTGACCTGCTGAATCCGAATTTCAAGTCAGTTTGGGCCGTCCACCCTTCAATATCCACCCTTGCAATATCTCTAAAAACGGATGTATGAACTGAATGAGGCGAAAGATTTTCTCAGATTTTGAACTGTTTTTTGTTGGTATCAAACTTTTTTGTTCTCAAATGACCTCCGCAGTATTCAGCGGATCGAAATACATAAGAATTATGCTTGGTTTCGATTCATACATTTTTTTTATTACTAATTATCTTATTTTTACTAGTTTTAAAATTTACTCGATATGGAACAATGAGGTTGGATACTATGGAGATGATATGCCAAAAAAACGACACCCCTTCCCCCTCTCTTAATGGTCATGTCATAGTTGTCAAAGAGCTGTCAGAACTTTGTTCAAATTTAAATATTTCGACGTTATTTCTATAAGTGTTTTTTTTTTTGATTAATTTGTATAAAAATCATGACTAAGTGTGCCAAAATTAATTGTAAAAACTCTTCAGTGAAAGAGCGTAAGAAAATATCTAATTTAAGTTTTCATAAGTATAAAGAGTGTACTTAGAATTTTTTTTTAGAATGCTTAACTTTTTTTTATTATAGGTTTCCAAAAAACCCACAGTCAGGCAATTTCAGTCTGCATATAAAAAAAATTTAGTTCATGTTGAATTAAGAGATAGTTTCCGTGGAAATTGTATTCCTTTGGAGGAATTAACTATTTTAAAGTGCAATATAACAAGCCAGTTAAATGTTACTTCAAAGGAATATGCAATGTCTGATAATATTGACGATTTTGAGAAAGTGAATGTTATTGAAAATGATCATGATTATTTACCAGATCCAGTCTCCTCCTTTTCTAAATATATAATCACTTACATTTCTGGATATGTTGTTTATTATTTAAAAAAGAAAATCATTCGTGAACAATGTCTAGATGCTTTAATAAGTAAAACTAGAGATTTGTTTCTATTTTCATTCATTGATATAAAGAATAAAAATGGTTTGCAATATCCATCGGAAGATGTAATAAACATTTGTTTAAAATGTGAAAAAATATTAAAAATTATGAAAGACTAAGAAAAAAATATCAGTTGATATCATCAGCACATTAGTTTTAAAAGAATTCTAATGTCTTTTCGAATATTATGCAGCACAGTTTGAACCAGTTTGTGTTGGATAATCATAGAATATTATTAATCAAGTGCATAGTTGATAAATATGTTAGTATCCGACTAACATATCTCACTAAAACTAGAGTTAATAAATCTGCTAGCATAAGACATCAAAACAACAAAATAGTGTTGTTTAAAGGTCAATAAATATTTTTTTAATTAATAATTTTTTTTGTAGTGTCTTATTAAGAATGGGACACAGAAAAATTGAAGAGTTACCTATAATTTTACCAAATTTGGCAAAAGTTTTTGGTGTCATAAGATACGTTACACTTATTTGAACTATAATTATATATCTTTTGATGTTTTTTAAGTAAATCATATAGGTACTTTTGTTGGGAACTTATAAAAAACTTCAAAATTAAAATGCAGAATATTCGCATTCTAAGCATAGTCTTATTTTTAATCAGACTCTTTAGTTGTTCTGTATCCCTTTCTCAATGAGACACCTTGTATATAAACTTCCCACTTGAACAATTTTATATTTTTCAAGTTAGTACAATACAGGTGTATCAGAAATTAAAGCAAAAAGACAACTTATAACAAAGGTTTAAATTTAGTAATGTCAAGTCATCCTTGTACCCTAAAAAAGTACCAATGAAGAAATTATTCCTCCAATGCAACCAAACAGTTATTTTTAGGATAAGATTTTGTGTCAAATGTTATCCACAGCCACAGGGTTTCTTTTTAAATGGCATGACGTTCAAAATTTTGGTCAAAACAATTTTCATCATGCACTTTTCTTGGAAATTCACAATGCTTTATTAGGATTAAAAACACCAGTTTCTAGAAACTTTTTCACTATAACACTAACATTACTGATCAGAAAAAGTGGTGAAAGTTTTCTTTTTGTAATCACAAATCGCAACTGAATGCCTATTTTTAAAATAAATTATCTCTATAATTCCATTTGTATAGTTGTATGCTGTGCATCTGTGAGATTGTTGTTTATTATACATAGGTACCAATTATAGAAATCTTTAGTAAGTACTTGCTTGCAATTTTAGTAATATATGTACCTACCTACCCTATATAATTAATTATTTCAAACATAAATAAAACCAACAACTATTATCTGAGTCTTTTTAGTTCCGATTGGTTTTGACAGAGTAGTTTTGATCATGGTTTTCTTCCATCTACTTTTAACCATAAAGTCATACCTAGCTGAATTTTTGGTCTTTTTAAACTTTTGACTGTAGCGGGTCATATTTTTAATGTATGTCATCTGCAGAAGAAAGACCTATATGTTTTACATTTAAAAGTAATTAATTGTCCTTTCTACAAACTCGGCTGTATTTTTAGTGAAATATATTTATTCACAATTCACGTAGTGGTTTGGTTTGGTAATTTGATGTCATAATTCTCCTCATTGTCAGATTTTGACATTGGCAGCTTTGATCAAGACAAGAGAGTCCTTGAACGAAAAATCGTAGTTCGGGTTGTAGTTTTAAAGCACAAAGAGATTAACAAATCTGATACACAGTGTTATTCGAACGTTGATTTTCGATCATACAGGTCATATATCGGACGGTTTCGGCGAAGGCATAACAATATAATAATATTAATCTCTTTTATGGTCTTGGCATTGGCTTGGTCGGAAAACGGTTAATAAATAATAGTAAATAGTGTAGAAGTCATAATTGCGCAATGTCATCAAATTAATTTCGAATCGATCATGTTGAAACAAATGTTAGGTAAGTAAGTCATTTAAAAGTTGTAATTCTGCATAGGGACTTTAATTATATTTGAATACGACCCTGTTTAGTCAACCATTTAAGCCACGCCCAGTGGGGTCATTTTTAATAAAACGTATCATATGCAAAACAATTGCCTCATGGCATCTCCATTAGTATTATACCTCCATGATATTGACTTGAAATTCGGATTCAGCGGGTCAAAATACATGCCGGTAGGTAGGTCGTGTCTGATGTACAAACAACTTTTTTTTGTGTGCTGGTGTAATAATAATAATAATACATTCCTTAGGAGTGAACCCCTGAAGCTCTGTGTCAAGTAAATTAGAGTTATTAGAATTAAATGAGCCATTTTTTATTAAATATAAATGAAAGAAATAGCTTTAAATACTTAGAATTGCTAAGTAAATCATATCAAGGATCAGAGAGAGGAATGTTTATATTAGTAATTTTATTCATTAAAAAAGTAATTTAAACATTAATTTTCATATATGAAGCAAACATAGTATTGAAATAAAATAGGTGCCAAATTGTTATGAAATATAAAATGCATCTTAAAAAAGTCAACAAAATTGCTTGGAGAGCAGATAAAGGGATCAAAATTAATAAAAAATCTGTTTAAAAATTAAATGAAAAAAAAAATTGTATTGAAATAAACTTAGTGCCAAATTTTTAATAAATATAATATAGCTACATCTTAAAAATGAATAATTATTGTGAAAACAGCAGATTTAAATAATTCTATATAGGTAAATAGTAACATAAACTTCAATTGAAAATAAAAAAAAGTTAAATTTTTTCTGTGGAGAATTCGAAGATGTATTCTTCATTAAAGAGGTATCTGAACTTAAAGAAACCATTGACAATTTCCTTAATGACGAAAATAAAAAGGTTAACCTCAATCCAAATCCTGAGTTGTCTCAAATAACTAATACGGAAGATGTTATCTCAGAAATGCTTGACATAGCAAATAGTATTAACATTAATAGTATTTAATATAAATGAATCTATTAAAAATACTCTAAATGGACGTAATAAGGAGGATAAAGAAACAGTTCTAAAAGTTTTGGAAGATTGCAACATTATGTGCCTAATCGTCCTACAGCAAACATCTGCGTAACTTTGTTTTTGATTAGGAAGTGAAGCGTTGTAATAAACAAAAATGAGTATTTTAAATTGTACTTTAACTAGGAGTTAAATGGAATGTCCTATATTTGGGAACCCAACTGATTTGAACCCTCGTATGTTGCCGACAATTGAACAAATGCTACGATTTTATTTATTCATACGCTATGAACTAAAATATCAAAAATTACAGTAATGGATGATAATTTATGATAAATGATGATAATTGATGACAATAATTAATATCTTATGAGGCAGATCCTTTTGCCCCAGTTCCTAGAACTAGTATTATTGTGTTTTATGTATAGGTTATATCTGTTTCACAGCGTCACTTTATGAACAGCATTGTTAATTTCGTCGAGTGAGAAAGCCTGCCTATGCATTAGAATTAATTTTGAAAACATTTGATCCTGGTTGGAGTCTAATCACCCACCTGCTTCTCACTTAGTTCTATGGCTACTTTACCTCTATGACTTTGGGATAAATGTTTTCTTAATCTCTAGTAGTAGAACTGACGAGGTTCCAATGAATTTATTGTTTTTTTTTTAAGATAATTATGAACTAAACATGAGCTAATTTGTACTTAGAATTGATGGTTTGCCAAAGGAATTAAGTGTAGCTTTTTATATCTTTCAGATTAGCTTTTGGTACAGGCTTATCAAGGAATAAAACATTTTTTTTTTTTTTAGATATAATGGTGGAATCTTTTTTTAACTTCACTGACGAACTTCTAGAAAGTAATTGTTTCTATTGTACAATATGCAAAGACATACTAAAGCCACCAATAATGCTTATAGAAAATATCGGAAACATTTGTGCGAATTGTTTTGACGAAAAGCAAGAAGTAATGAATTGGAACAGCATGAAGAATGTGGCATTGGAAAATATTTTAAAACTGTTAAAATTACCCTGCAAATACAAGATAAAGGGGTGTACAGAAAGGTTAGATTCTTAATTGAAGTTTTTTTTTATTTAGTTTAATATTTACTTCATCTTAAGATTTATTTTATATCTTTCCTGATACCCTGCTATGGGAGTTCTTCTTTTTAGGGTGGGATGCCCTGATTACAATAGTAACTATTCCTAAGTATTGGCGCATGTGGGACTTATGTGGCAGGTTGTGTTCCCAATTAATATCGTCAATTTTGCTACTTTCAACCCTTTATGTGTGGACAAGCCTAAGAACCAGGGTTCGAAAATATCATATCACATGATATATATCCGATATATTATATCTTTGTTAAAATTTAATTATTTAATTAAAAAAACAATATTGTTTCTTGCACAGACTATATTTTAAATTTTAACACAAACATATTAACAAAAACCTATATTCTAAACAACAAATCCATTTATTCTAACTCAAATTAAAAAGAAACAAAATTAATAAAATAAACAGATTTTAACATTATTTTAATACAAACACATATAAATCGCTAGTTATTATACTTTTATACAGGGGCGTATTGAGACATTTTCGGTTGTTCAGAATGGTGGAAAACATTTTTAATTTAATAAATAAAATGATCGAATATATCGGATATATATCAAGGTATAAATATCATGATATATATCGTGATAAGAGAGGGGGAAGGGGTGTCGTTTTTTTTTTTTGGCACATGTCATCTCCCTAGTATTCAACCTCATTGCTTCTTCCACTACTTCATAACCTTATTTCTGATCCTTATTACTGCTTCTTTTTTTACTGCTTTGTAAATATGATGATGCGCTACTGTTTACTTTTAATATTATTAATACTTAATATATTTTAGGTTTTCCTATGAAGATCTAGTTTACCACCAAAACAACTGCAAGTTCCGTACAAAAATATGTTCCATGTTCAAATTTTCCGGTTGCGAATGGGAGGGGAACACGATCGACTTCGTCGATCATTTCAAAGAATCTCACGGAGATCACGTGATCAACTTCGAGAACAATTTGTTCTTTTTAGAAACGTCGCTGAACGACGCCAACCTAGTGAAACTATTGGTGACGAAACAGAATGTTTTTATGCTAAGAATGCAGACAAATTTGGAAAAGAAGAAATTATTTTACATGATTTGTAGCATAAATGACGATTACAATTCTTTTTGCGAATTTTCTGTGAAACACAAGGGCGGCAGTGAGAATTACATTAAAACGAAATCAAAAATTTTGTCTTCGTACTACAATTACAAGGATTTCGATGAAAATATTGCCGTGGAAATTGATTTGGATGCGCTTAAACACATTTCCCATATATCTGAAACTATTACGAATATATTTAAGATTAAATTGGATGAATCTCCCGCTGATTGTATAGACGATAAGATATTGCATTTCTTCGAATGTCCTGTTTGTAAGAATTTTATGAAACCGCCTATTTATCAGTGCAATTCCGGGCATAGTATTTGCAATTTGTGTAGACCAAGGCTAGAAAAGTGTCCTACTTGTCGATCGATGTTTGGGAATACCAGGAATTATTCGTTGGAAGGTTTAACGGCAGGTATGTCTACCATGTCTGTAATAATAATAATAAAAATAAAAGTGCTTTATTGAAACTTAAAAGTTACAAAAGGCCATTCGAGGTCCTTCAGCCTGTGGTTTACATTCATTGTTTTAGCCAGTGTAATATTTTACATAAAACAAATTAAACTTGTAGTAAATATACAATTTATAGATATTTGAAATATTTATTATTGACAACCGTATTTTTGATAAGTAATTAATCAAAGTCAAAAAATATTCTACCGGGTGATGTTAAAAAGTAAGATATTAAAATCACCACACTACTCCCCCCTTAAAAATAAGTATTTTTCAACAAAAATTTAACTTTTCGACCAAAACGGGTCACGTATTCTTCAGTTTTATCTTTAGTTTTATCTTTTTCAGTTTTTTCTTTTTCAGTTTTTTCTTGTTTTTTTTGGGTTCGTCTTTGACATTTGTACGTATATTTGGCGGATCTTCTTCAAAATAATTCTCTATAAATGCAGGTTTCAGTCTTTCCATTGATATATTTTTTTCTTTTCCATTTATAAGCAATGTGAAAACGCCATTTCTTCTGTTTAAAACCTTATATGGTCCAATGTAAGGCTTTTGTAAAGGTTTTATCACTGCATCAACCCTAACAAATACAAATGGAGCAACACATAATTCTTTTGGAATAAAATTTTTTCTTGAACTGTGATTTGATGTTTCTGTTGCTTTAATTTGATTCATGGTTTCTCTTAAATTGTTTAGAAATTCTACTTGATTTTCTTTGAAATATATTTCATTTAAAATTAAGTCACCTGGTACTCTTAATGAGGCACCTTAAACTAATTCGCTACTGGATGCATGTAAATCTTCTTTAGGTGTAGTCCTCAAACCAAATAAAACAGTTGGAAGCATTTCTGACCATTTGTCAGTAGAATTCAAAACACATTTTATAGAAACTTTTAGTGTCCTATGAAATCTCTCAATCATGCCATTAGATCGTGGATGGTAGGGGGTTGTTCTTAAATGATTGAATCCCATTAATTTAGAAAATTCTCTAAAAAGTTCAGATTCGAATTGTCTTCCTTGATCAGTAGTGACTTTTGAAGGAACTCCAAACCTGCAAATCCACCCATTATAAAACTCGCGAGCTACTGATTCTGACGTTATATTGGTTAACGGAAAAGCTTCAATCCACCTTGAGAATCTATCAATGCATGTTAAACAATATATAAAACCATTTGAGGGTGGTAAAGGGCCTATCAAATCTATATTAATATGTTCAAATCTACTATTTGGTACTTTAAATTCGACTACAGGTCCAATTGTGTGTCTATTGATCTTTGATTTTTGGCAAGGCATGCATAATTTTGACCACTTTTTAATATCCGTTTCCATTTTTGGCCAAATGTATTTACTTTTAATTAACTTTATATTAGCTCTAATTCCTGGGTGTGACAAATTATATTTGTTGAAAATTTCCCTTCTAAAGTTAAGTGGAACAAAAGGTCTGACGTTCTTAGTTGACAGATCACAATAAATGTTATTTTTACTATTGGGAATTTGAATTTTTTTTAATCTAAAGATGTACTTTCTTTTAATAGTCTTTGCAAATCTTGATCTTCATTTTGTTCTTTTTCCCAATTTTCTAGATGTTCGTGATTATTTAAGCGAATCTCAGATATCCTAGAGAGCGCATCGGCTACTATATTTTGCGATCCCGAAATGTGTCTAATGTCACTGCAAAATTGACTGATATAATCTAGGTATCTTGTTTGCCTTGGTGAACAAGTTTCAGGATTCTTCTTAAGAGCGCAAATAAGTGGTTTATGATCGGTATAGATAACAAATTCGCAACATTCAAGCATCCAGCGGAAATGTTTAATACTTTCAAAGATAGCTATGAGTTCTCTATCATATGTGCTGTATTTTATTTGAGACTTGGATAATTTTTTTGAAAAGAAACCTAGCGGTTTCCAAATATTATCATCTTCAAATTGCTGCAATACAGCACCCAGAGAATGATCTGAAGCATCTACCATTAAAGAAATTGGGCAAGAATTTGAGGGGTGTGTTAAAATTGTTACATTCTCTATGACAGATTTTAAATCAATAAATGATTTTTCCTGAATGTCAGTCCATTCTAATTTTCTATTTTTATTTGAATTACCTTTTAAAAATTCGTTCAATGGAGCCATTATCTCGGCTGCTTTCGGCAATGAAGATCGGTAAAAATTAACCATGCCAAGGAAACGTCTTATTCCCTTTAAGTCTGTTGGTTATTTTGAAATCGCAAATAGCATTTATTTTCTTATTTGTAGGTTTAATTCCTTCTTGAGAAACTACAAAACCAAGAAAATCGATTGAGCTTTGACCAAATTCGCATTTTTGTGGATTTATTAGAATTCCATATTTTTCCAGCCTTGTAAATAACTTTCTATGATGACTCTTATGTTGACTTTCATCCTCCGAAGCTACCAAAAAATCATCCATATATGGAAAACAAAATTTTAAGTCTCTGGTTATTTGATGGATATATCTTTGGCATGTTTGGGCTGCGTTTCTTAACCCAAATGGCATTTTGAGGTACTCAAAAAGTCCAAAAGGTGTAATTATTGCAGTTTTTTCTATGTCTTCTGGTTACATGGGAATTTGATGGAAAGTCTGGGTCAAATCTATTTTTGAAAATATTTTTTTGTTTTTTAGATGGAACGTAAAATCTTTAATATTTGGAATCGGGTAGCGATCAGGTACAGTTTTGATATTTAAAAGACGGTAATCTCCACAAGCTCTCCATTCGCCATTTGGTTTTCTTACCATATGTAATGGACTAGCCCACGGGCTCTTTGATGGGCGAATTATTTTAGCTTCTAAAAGACTGTTGAATTCCTTTTTTGCATCTGCTAATTTTTCTGGATTTAATCTACGGACTTTGCAGAACACTGGGGGCCCTCTCGTTATAATTTGATGATAAACATATGCCATTTCAACTTTTTTTATCTTTAATAGAATTTAATAGGTTAGGGAACTCGAATAAAATTTTTAAATATGGTGAAATCTTATTTATTGTAGTAATTTTAGTACATTCCTTGGTTACTTGACAATCTTTCCAAATGTCCCTGCTAATATCACAAATCTTTTTGTTTGCTAAATCCACTGAAATTTTATTTGATCTTAAGAAATCTGCTCCTATTATAGCCTTGTCAATATTGGCTATCACAAATATCCAGGTATAGTTTTTTCCAAGTCCTAAATTCACCGTTAAAGTCTTCTCTCGAAAAGTAGTTATAGGTGAGCCATTTGCTGCATATAAAATTTTATTTGAAGGTCTATCGGCACAACTTTGTTTCGGTAGAGCAGATATATCGGCACCAGTATCTATTAAATAATCAATGTTGTTATTAATATCCTTAATAAATAGACGACATTCTCCAATTCTGCCAAGATCGTTCGTCGTCAATAACGACTGGCTGTTTCGTTTCCCGAATCGGTTTCAAATGAACAAGGTGGATCACACTTAAAGGCTTTAATTCCAAATCTTCGGTGGTAGTGGCATATTGGATTGCTTTTGTTATTAGAGGGTGATGAAAATCTTGATTTTGATCTGAAATTATGTCTTCTAGGACGTGGGCTAAACTCTCGTTCCCTAGATCTATTTCGGCTACATGAGATGCTTCATTCATTTTCTTGATTAATTCATCAAGTTTACTTTCGATTGATGAAATTTCAGGAGGATTAACGGTACAAATTTGTTCTGGTGTAGTAGATGCTTTCATCATCCCATCTGCCATATTGGTTAATTCTTCATCTGATAACTTCGATTGAAATGCTCGAATAACTTGTTCCACAGTTATTGGCAACTTTTTAAGCCAAACCAGACAAAATAAAATTTCTAGACATTTGTCTAGATGCTAAATCTGTCATTTTTCTATAGAGTTGACTGGGTTTTAAATCGCCAAGTTGGCACTCTTCGAATAATTTTGTAATTTTATCTTCTTCAGTAATTTCGTAGTTTTTAATTAATTGCGATTTGAGAATAGAGAAAGCGTCAGGTGATTCTTGATTTTGGAACAGATTTGAATTTTCTTTAACAATAGAACAATCCAATACTGTTAATACTTTTCCAAATTTAATTGTTTGTGAATGAATCCTATTTATTTTAAAAATTGTTTATATTGTGTTAAACCGTAACTCTGGTTCATGTTTCCAAAAGTTAGGCAATGAAATAGACTTTGCACAGTGAATCAAGAGTCGTTTTTTATTGTTGTTTTTTCCTGAATGGATGTATATTTTACATTTTTGTCATTGCTGGTTAAAGGTAAGTCAATCGGATCTGTGTTATAATTTGCGGAGTTATTAATAAGACTTTCTAATTTATTAAAACGTTCATACTAGCTTCCATGATCAACATCAGACGATTGCATACATTTTCCAAATTTTGTATTTTATTTTCTAATATTTAATATTTTAGTTTCTAAATCCTCATTTACTGGTATTTCTAAATTATTCAAAAGTTCTGTGAAGTCGTAGTCGGAAGGATTGATCTTATTTTCATATTTTCTTACTATTTCTCCTTCTAACGTTATTTTCATATCCGAAGCAGTCCCACATGGTGTAATTCCAAAGTGAACAAGTATTTTGCTTAATTGCTCCTTTGTCAAATTCTGCAAACATTTGACCCAGCTTACGTGCAGTGTTCCTAATTTTCCAGTCGGGGTCACCAATTGTAGTAAATATACAATTTATAGATATTTGAAATATTTATTATTGACAACCGTATTTTTGATAAGTAATTAATCAAAGTCAAAAAATAATATTCTACCGGGTCATGTTAAAAAGTAAGATATTAAAATCACCACAAACTCTAACAAATTAAACTCAGAAAAAAAAAGTATTTTATTCATTTAGTTGTTCCCAAATAGTGTTTTGAGGGTGCTGTTGTTGTCTAGGGCCACCGATTTATTTGTAAACATAAAGTTTCCATTTTATCTTTGTTTTTCTAGTTCTTCTTGAATTTGCCTGTCAGTTCGTTTAAACGTTGTAGTATGTGTGTGATATTGGTGGTTTCATATAGCAGTCTATTTGGAGGATTGTGGATTGGGTTGTTTGGGTGTCGCAATTTGGTAATACATCTCAGAGCAGTGGTCTCGGCAACTTGTAGGTTTTTCTTAGCTGGGTTCTTTATGTTAAGGAATATGGGATGTCCCTATAGGTCTACAGATCATTTTATATATTGTAGTCATCGTTTTTATATTAATACCTCTTCCACTTTTTGTTAGACTCCTGAAGTGTTTGGCACGTTTTATTACATTCTTTTTTATTGTTTTTGTGTGCATGTTAAAGTTTATTTTTTTGTCAATTGTGATGCTCAGGTATTTCGCTGAAGGCTGTGGTCTGATGGTGTGATTGTACATGTCGATGGTGGGAGAATTCATTGTTATGTTGTGTTGAAAGATCATCATTGCAGACTTGGTGGGGTTAGGTCTAAGTCTCCATCTGTTAAACCAGGTTATTGTGTGTACTACCAATTGCTGCAGGTTTACTATTGTACTTCGGAGATTTTTTCCATGTGAGATTAATGATGTGTCATCAGCATACTGTAGAATATACTGTGTGTTGTCAAAATGATTTGGATCGTTATTATATATATCTAAGCTATACAAGTTGTAAAGTAGTGGTGATATAGGTGATCCTTGGGGGAGTCCCTGTTTAGGTTCAAATGCTTTAGATAAAGTATTGCCTACTTTAATTTTCATTTGTCGTCCTGTTAGCATTGTGTCGATTATTAATGTGAGGTGTTTTGAGCAGCCTAATGTGTTCATTTTAAAAAGGAGGCCCTTGTGTCAAATGCCTTGTTAATATCAATGAATAGCACGGCTGTTTTTTCACCATTAAGTTTGGCAGTTTCAACGTTGTTGATTAAAGTTGATAGATGATGTAGGGTTGAGCAGCCTTTTTTGAAACCAAACTGGTATTTAGGAATAGGGTTTCCTATTTGAATTTCCATCTTTTTTTTAATGATCTTTTCGAAGTTCTTTCCAATCACTGGGAGTAATGTTATGGGCCTATAGTTAGAAGGGTTAGTGTGATCTGTATCTTTTTTTGGTATTGTTATTATCAGTCCTGTTTTCCATTCATCTGGTATATATTGCTCATTTGTGCAATATATGTATATTTTGATTATATATTGATGGATTTTTAGATCTAGATTTCTAAGAACTGTCCTAGTAATATTGTCATATCCTGGCGCTGTATTCTTTCCGTCCTGAAGTACTTCAAAATAATCATCTTCTTCAATAGTAATGGCCTCATGAACATGTGCCTCGTTTTTAAAGTTTTCGTACCATTCTTCTCTCACTTCTTTGTGATTGTCGTCAAAGTTGTTGTCTATTGTTTCCTCAAATGCAGATTTAAAATGTTCTTTAAAAATTTCAACTTTTTCAACAGGAGATTCGATGATTTGACCATTTTTACTTTCCTATCTGTATACAGATATAAGGAAAGTATAGGAATCATGATTTTTTTCGACCTCGAGTTTTCGATGGATTTTTACGTTTTGAGGTCCCCTTAATCCGTTTTGAGGTCCCCTTAATCCGTTTTGACTATTTTCGCGATGTGTGTGTGTGTGTGTGTGTGTGTGTGTGTGTGTGTGTGTGTGTGTGTGTGTGTGTGTGTGTGTGTGTGTGTGTGTGTGTGTGTGTGTGTGTGTGTGTGTGTGTGTGTGTGTGTGTGTGTGTGTGTGTGTGTGTGTGTGTGTGTGTGTGTGTGTGTGTGTGTGTGTGTGTCTGTGTCTGTGTGTGTGTGTGTGTCTGTGTCTGTGTGTGTGTGTGTGTCTGTGTGTGTGTGTGTGTGTCTGTGTGTCGCATAACTCATGAACCGATACACATAAAAACACCAAATTTTAAACTTAAGCTTTGTTCCAGCGTCCAATGAGCTGATTAGATTTTGGGCAGAGTCGGAACATCTGGGGGGGGGGTACTTTATAGGTGGTCATTTTTATATTTTATGTAATATATCTGTTATTTACGTTTGGGAAAGAAAATTCTTCAAATAAAAGTTACTTCTTATATTATTATCTATAATTTTTGTTCTATACAAAATTTTCCTAAAATGGTCCGTATTCGAGAAATTTGACAAAATGTAAAAAAATGTTTTTTTATAAAAATTGTTCAAACAAAATTTTTTTTGTAATATAATTTTCTATAATTTTTATCCTATACATAATTTCTCTAAAATGGACCGTATTCGAGATATTTGAGAAAATGTGTAAATTTGGAAATTTGAAGAAAACTCAAAAACGGATAAAGAAAAAAACATTAAATTTTAAACTTAAGTTTTATCTCGGCCTGACGTGAAATGATTAGATTTTGGGTTTGTTTTATGTCAAAATTTCCTGAAATGGTCCGTATTCGAGAAATTTGACAAAATGCGCAAAATTCTGATTTTTATGAAAATTGTTGAACTAAAAGTTGTTTGCTATATCGATCTCTATAATTTTTGTTTATACATAATTTTTCTAAAATGGACCGTAATGGAAAAATTGTAGGAAAAGTGCTCAATTTCAATTTTTCAGTATTTTCGTTTCCAATGAATATGTATAGAAAAATGTTTCGAGGTAGGATGTATGTGGAAAATGTATATATTTAGTTTATCCTCTAAACATTTATAGAGTTGCTGCAATAGGTTGTACAAAATAACCGGAAAAAGCCTATAATAACTAGATAGGAAAGTCATGTGTTGGACACATCAGATTTTTTATTAAATGGTTGTTGTTTATTGAGTTATGTTTGTATTTGCTAAGTTTCTTAATTTCTTGCCAGTAGTTTTTTCCCTTTTTCCTATTGATTTCTTCACATGTAGAAAGCCAGTTGTGTTCCCTATATTGTTGTATCATACACTGGATGTTTTTGTTAAGTTTGTTAATTTCTTTTTTTGCATAATTATTTCTTGTTGTTTTGTATTTTCTGTACATTTGTCTTTTTCTTTTGATAAGTTGTATTATAAAAGGAGGTAGTAAATGGGTATAATACTTTACTTCTAACTTAGGAGTTTGCTCTTCTACAGTATGTGTCAGTTTGTAACAGAACTCGGTGATACTGGGTGGGTTGACTTCATTTTCGGTGACATGGGCTATCATTACTTCATTGATCCTCTTCATATCTGTCTTTTTCCAATTATATTTCATTTCTTTTATAAGACTTGTGGAATTTTGAAAGTCAAAAGATATTCTGAGAGCTTGATGGTCTGCCCCTATATCAGATATTACATTGACTTGCAGAATATCGTTTTGAAGATTAGGCGAGTATAGTATAGTTGAGTCTGGGTTTTGTGGCATAATAAATGTTGGTGAAGTAGAATATATTTTGAACCCTGTATTCGTGGTGAAGTTACTTAGCTGTTTCTTCTTTTATTTGTTGCCGGTTGCATTAAAGTCTCCAATTATTATTGAATATTTATACAGGGTGGCCATTGTAAACACAGTTTCTTCTATTCTAGCAAATGAATGGAAGTACACAAGGAAGACATGGAGTTTTTCGTCCTGAAACGGAAAGGTAAAGTGCAAGCAATCATTTAGGGGATTGTTAATTATTGGAGAGTTTGCTCTGCCCATCTTTAAATTGGGATTACCCTGCACTAGACATCCTCCTCTCGGGCGATTTGTGATTAGATTGCCTTTTATTTTCAGTACGTCCCAATTTCTATATGATGTATTGCTATCTTCTGTTATTTTAGCTTCAACAAACATTGTACAATGTATATTATTAGCCTCGATGTAATTGTTGACAAGATGTTTTCGTTTAGAGTAGCTATTGATGTTCGAATATACGAAATTAATGACTGACATAAATGTGTTGTGCGTTATTTCCTTGGTTTATTGATTCTGTGGCCGAAGCATGTGCTGGGGATTGCATATCAAACATCAAGATATAGACTCTGTTTCCTGAGAACACTGCAGTTGTGTTAATGTTGTAGTTGTTTACAAATCTTTTTCTGAGTTTTAGTAATAGTTCATCTCTGTTGTGTTCTACAGGGTCATTCAGCTTATTAATGTATGTGTTAATGACATGGTCGTGTACAGTAATTGGTTCATGTATGCGGTTTTTCTTAAGTTCTGGATTAATTTCTCTTGACTTCTTGTTCAAAGATTTGATTGAGACATTTGGAATACCATCAATGGGTTTTGTTGGTCGTTTAGGGCATTTGTAAGACCACGCCTGGTGATCTTCTTCTGCGCAACTTCGACATTTGGGTGGGAGTGTTGAAGTGCATTTATTTATTGGGTGATTTCCAAGGCATTTTGGTCAAATTTGTGTATTTTTACAATTCTCTGTTGTATGGGTATATTCTTGCCATTTGCTACATGGTTGTGGTACAGGCTCTGGAGCTTTGCTAGGATAGACTGGATAGTGTTGATAATGATAATGTAGGCCATGAGATAGAAGAATTTCAGAGGTGGTCTGTGATCCTGTAATGATCCTTATCATTATTGTGGGTTCTGCATTGCTTCTGGCTATTATTCTTTTGCAGTATCTATGTTCTAGATTAAGATTTGTGAGGTGTCTGCTAATTGAATTTTCGTCTATTTCCTGCTCTATCCTGGCGATTATAACAGAGTAAGAGGGGAGTGGTGAAGAAGTAGGAGGTTTTGTGTTAGGGTTGCTTTCTTTATAGCTTAGAATCTTGCCATTTTCAACATATCTGTCAAGGACTCCCATTATTTCATCTTTGTTGGTATTTGTTTTTAAAACAATTTTTATTATAATATCATCAGCGTTAGGAAAAATTTGGTTCCACCCTGTACTAATATTCATTCTAGTGCATGAACTTTCTGCTTCTAAATAAAACATATTATCATACTTTTTGTTGACTATTGTGTTCATTACTGGTGAGTAGTTTTTATTAAAATTGTTTTTGTTGGTATAACTGTTTTTGTGTGGTTGAGGATTTCTGTTTGTATCTGATAAGTTTTTGTAGGTGGGATTTTTGGTATTTGTAGTCTGGGAGCTTGTGCCAATAATATCATCAATTTCTTTTGTTAGTTGATTAAGTCTTTTTGGAATATTGTGTAATTTGTCTTTTGTTTTGCGTCTAACTTTTTTCCACATTCCATCTTCCTCAACTTCCATCTCAGTATAGTCTCCATCGCTTGATATACTCATTTTGATATTTTACTTAAACAACCGTACTAAATGATCACTGCTTTGGAAATAGGTGTTCACTTTAGCAAGTTTAATTTAATACTGTGTTGCTGCGTTATTATTTATACTTAAATACTTACTTTAAATACTTTATTTATTTTGTTTTACTATGGCGGAAGTCATAGGTGTTTTAGTGATAACTAGAATAATATTTTTTGACATAGGTTTGAAATGTAATAAAACCACGTCAATAAAAAATAAAAACTACTTTGGAAGATATTTTTTACGGCTTTAAAATAAAAACCTTCTGAAACAATTAAAGGCAGTTTCATAGTGGTTCCAGAGATCCTGACGAATATGAAATGATAGCCATGACCTTTGGGGCTACCTCATTACCAGTTACTGTTCAGTTTGTTATGAGGAAAAATGCGGCGAATTTAAGAAGATTAATGTAGATAAACGTTGGGAATGGGTCAGAGCAAAGAAAGTTTGCTTCAGCTGTTTGACTTCTTCACATCAAACAAGGCAATGCCGAAACAAGAAAAGTTGTCCCGTAGAAGGTTGCACATTCAGACATCATCAAATACTGCACAAATACATCTCTCGAGAAAACGCTCCAAACCAAGAAGTTAACTGTCATATAGCCACAGAGGAAGAAACTAATCTATGTGTAAATTATAAAAGGCATGACATTCTGCTTCGAATTGTTCCTGTAGAACTCGGAGGTCCGAACGGGAAAATCAACACCTATGCTCTTCTAGATGAAGGATCTACTATTACCATGACAGATTCTTCGATTGCAGACTCCATTGGTGCTTTGGGCCCTCAAGATCCGCTAATAGTTCGATGGACAAATTTCATTATTAATGAGGAGCGAGAATCTCAAAGAATATCACTGTGTATAAGAGGTCAAAACGAGAACACTTCATATCGACTACAAAACGTTAGAACCATTAGAAATCTTTCTCTTCCTGTCCAGTCAGTAAATATTCGACATCTTTGCCAAAAATGGGGTTACTCACAAAAAATTCAACTTCCAAATTTAGAAGAAGTACAACCAAAAATCTGAATAGGTCATGATAATATTGACCTAATCATTCCCAGAGAAATATTCGAAGGGGGTAAGAACTCACCGATGTTAACCAAATCAAAACTAGGCTGGATAGTCCATGGTAACACATGCAATGGTCATTTTCGAAGAGAAAAAGATGAATTTTCCTTTTTGTAATTCAAGAGCCCGACTCGATGGATGAATTAGTAAGAAATTGGTTTAAAATAGACTGTCTGGGCATTAAAAAAATTGAAAATCTCTACACTCTAGAGGAACAAAGGGCTTCGGATATTTTGCAAAAGACAACTAAACGAGTGAGTCCATCTAAGTGGGAATCAGGTCTACTCTGGAGAAACGACGACAAAAATATTCCTGAAAGCAAATATACAGCTATTGCAAGACTCAAATATATCGAGAAGAAAATGGCAAAAGATAATCAATTCTATACCGACTACAGTAAGAAAATTTCGGAATATGTAACAAAAAATTATGCAAAGAAACTAAGCAAAGAAGAAATACCAGTCCAGATCTTGAGAGTTTGGTACCTGCCACATTTTGTAGTAACTAGAGCCGATAAACCAGGACATCGTCTCGTATTCGATGCTGCTGCAAAAACTGAGGGTATTAGTCTAAATGATTTGCTTTTAAAAGGCCCAGACCTTTTGAACTCTCTCTTGGGTATCGTTTTTAGATTTCGTCAAAGAAACATAGCTTTTTCTGCCGACATTAAAGAGATGTTTTACCAGGTTAACATCAGACCTGAAGACAGACACGGTCAACGATTTCTTTGTAGAAATGGAGAGGGTTCCAGAGATCCTGACGAATATGAAATGATATCCATGACCTTTGGGGCTACCTCATCACCAGTTACTGCTCAGTTTGTTATGAGGAAAAATGCAGAAGATTTCAAAGATATTTTCCCAAACACCGAAAAAGCCATTCGTGAGAACCATTACGTAGACGATTATTTAGACAGTATGGACACCATAACCGATGCTGTCAAACAAATTTCGTCAGTCATAGAAGTTCATCAAAGAGGTAGTTTCGTCATACGCAACTGGGCGAGTAACTGTAAAGAAATTTTAAAAAATATTCCAGATACCCACAGAAACGACAATATAAAAAATCTTAATTTTGACAAAGGAATTACTCTACCCACTGAACGAGTCTTAGGTCTATCATGGAATCCAAATGACGACAAATTTTCTCTTCGTTTCAAATGGATTGACGAAGATGTTAAAGATTTAATTGAACAAACTCACGTCACGAAAAGGCAAGTTCTAAAGACCGTAATGACAATATTCGACCCTCTTGGATTCCTCTAATTTCACTATAAAAGGAAGAATTTTAATCCAACACATTTGGAAATCAAAGATCGGATGGGATGATGAAATCGACAAGAAATCGACAGACAAGTGGAAGAAATGGATGAGAAAACTACAGAAAATTAAAAACATACAAATATATCGATGTTATGTGACAGATATTTACAAAGCTCAAGAAATTCAGCTATTTTGTGATGCCAATGCTCAAGCATACGCTGCCGTAGCTTACTTTCGAATAAAATTTCCCACTCACATCTCAACCTCTTTCGTCATAGCCAAATCAAGAGTAGCCCCTCTGAAACCAATGTCTATTCCGAGACTAGAATTACAGGCCGCCGTCTTAGGAAACAGACTTGTTTCTACTATCCTTGAAAATCACGATATCCCGATCACATGTGTGTATCTTTGGAGCGATTCCCAAACCGTCATCAGTTGGATCAAATCCTGCTCTATACAAACCTTTTGTGGCACACAGACTTGCAGAAATTCAGGAAAATACTGACACAAAACATTGGAATTGGATCCCAACCAATGAAAATGTTTCAGACGAAGCATCCAGGGAAGATTACAGTAGAGACTGGGCTTTAAGTACAAGATGGCGTGATGGACCTGCATTTCTAAAATATGAAAAATCTGATTGGCCTATAAAAGACAACTTAATGACTGACACTACAGAAATGAAAAAGACTTTTATAGGCGTAACCGTAGAAACGTGACAAGATTCTCATCGTGGCTAAAATTAATTCGTGCAACAGCTTGGATTGTAAGGATCATTGAGATATTAATGAAAAAACTTAATAAAAGGGAAGAACTGACCTGTAGTGAGCTCGATAATGCCGAAAAATTGTGGATAAAAAGTGTTCAAAAAGATAGTTTCGCAGATGAAATCAAAGATCTTCAAATGAAAAAAACAATTTCTTCATCCAGCACAATTCTTAAACTTTCACCTTTTTTAGACAAAGACAATATTCTAAGACTAAAAAGTAGAATTTTAAATGCAGACTTCCTAGATGATGATACTAAATTTCCAGTAATACTCGACCCTAAACACATCTACACAAAATTACTGATTACACACTACCACAAAAAGGCAAGACATCATGGGCAAGAAATGGTTTTAAACGAACTTCGTCAGCGCTATTGGATCCTAAATGCCAGGCAAGCTGTTAGAAGTTGTTGGAACGACTGCCAATGGTGCAAAAATCGTCGATCAAAAGAAACATTACCGGAAACGGCTCCTCTTCCTCGATGTCGACTAACACCCTTTGTCAGACCGTTTACCATTACTGGGATGGACTATTTCGGGCCCATGGAAGTGAGTATAGGACGCCGGAAAGAAAAAAGATACGGAGTTTTATTTACGTGCATGAGCACAAGGGCTGTTCATCTAGAAATAGCCCATTCACTTACTACGGACTCAGCTATAATGGCCATTCGTAGGCTAGCTGGTAGAAAAGGAAATCCAAAGACACTATTTTTGTATAATGGGACCAATCTAAGAGAAGCAGAAAAAGAACTAAGAAATGCGTTAAATGATTTCGACCAATACAAAATTATTAGCACTTTGTCTGCTGCACAAATAGAATGGTTCTTTTTACCTCTCCTTGCAAGCCATATGGCGGGAAGTTGGGAACGACTTATCCGATCCGTCAAAACTTCCATAAAAACCATCTTAAAAGAAAAGTGTTCACGAGAAGAAGTCCTTCAAACGATATTCGTGGAAGCTGAATATACGGTAAACTGTAGACCTTTGACTCATGTTTCATTAGACTACGCTGACCAAGAAGCTTTGACACCGAATCACTTCCTACTAGGCTCACCAAATGGGGCGCAAATACCAGGAATTTTTGACCAGAACAACCTGCTGTCCAGAAAACATTGGCGTCAATCCCAAGTACTTGCCGACCACCTTTGGAAGCGATGGATAAAAGAATATTTACCAGTCCTTACAAAACGTACGAAATGGTTCGTGTCGCATCCCCGTAAATGGGCCCGTTCACTTTTATTTTTGAATGTGAATTATTTATATATTTATAAAGATATTAAACTCTTTTGTCTGGTGGTACTTTTCCCGTTAAGATATTTTTGCTAGAAGTAAGGGAATTCCCATAAAATTCTTTCAGTGTCTCATTGCGTCAGAAAACCCCTAATTCCCTTCAGGTGTCGTATCGGTTAATAGTTAAAAGGGCGCGGTTGTCGGATGTATCATTGCACCACCATTCCTCTTCTGCATTTATTAAAGAAATTTACATGATAAAAATATATTATTTTTTAAAAATAATGTGTTTATATTTTCAGATAAAGCTGGAAGCCTTACTTTTTTTAAATTTTAATAAAAACAATTAGTATTACTCAAGCTGAATATTACCAGATCGAAATTTTATTTGAGAAAATGTATCTGGTAAACGTGACAACGTTGTAAGTACTTCTAAATAGTGTTGTCTACACACACTTCTAGAAATAAATGCAACGTTGCCACGTTTACCAGATAAATATTGCAAATCAAATTTCTACTTTTTGATTATGGTCTGGTTAATTTTCAGCCTGAGTAATAATTGTTTTAATTAAAAAGTAAAAAATAAGCTCCCAGCTTTAAATCTGAAAATATAAGTTCATGATGTTTAGAAAAATAATGGAATTTTACTATTTAAATGGGCTCGTTCACTTTCATTTTTGAATGTGAATTAATTATATATTTATAAAGATATTAAACTCTTTTGTCTGGTGGTACTTTTCCCGTTAAGATATTTTTGCTAGAAGTAAGGGAATTCCCATAAAATTCTTTCAGTGACTCATTGGGTCAGAAAACCCCTAATTCCCTTCAGGTCTCGTATCGGTTAATAGTTAAAAGGGCGCGGTTGTCGGATGTATCATTGCACCACCATTCCTCTTCTGCATTTATTAAAGAAATTTACATGATAAAAATATAATATTATTTTTTTAAAATAATGTGTTTATATTTTCAGATAAAGCTGGAAACCTTACCTTTTTTAAATTTTAATAAAAACAATTAGTATTACTCAAGCTGAATATTACCAGATCAAAATTTTATTTGAGAAAATGTATCTGGTAAACGTGACAACGTTGAAAGTACTTCTAAATAGTGTTGTCTACACACTTCTAGAAATAAATGAAACGTTGCCACGTTTGCCAGATAAATATTGCAAATCAAATTTCTACTTTTTAATTATGGTCTGGTTAATTTTCAGCCTGAGTAATAATAATTGTTTTAATTAAAAAGTAAAAAATAAGCTCCCAGCTTTAAATCTGAAAATATAACATCACGATTTTTAGAAAAATAATGGAATTTTACTATTTAAATTACATATAAATGCAGAAATGGTATATTAGGGATACTTCCGACAACCCCGCCGTCTTTAAGCATAACCGATACGAGACGTGAACGGAATTAGGGATTTTCTGACGCAATGAGTCACTGAAAGAATTTTATGGGAATTCCCTTACTTCTAGCAAAAATATCTTAACGGGAAAAGTACCACCAGACAAAAGAGTTTAATATCTTTATAAATATATAATTAATTCACATTCAAAAATGAAAGTGAACGGGCCCATTACATATATAAATGCAGAAATGCTATATTAGGGATACTTCCGACAACCCCGCCGTCTTTAAGCATAACCGATACGAGACGTGAACGGAATTAGGGATTTTCTGACGCAATGAGTCACTGAAAGAATTTTATGGGAATTCCCTTACTTCTAGCAAAAATATCTTAACGGGAAAAGTACCACCAGACAAAAGAGTTTAATATCTTTATAAATATGTAATTAATTCACATTCAAAAATGAAAGTGAACGGGCCCATTCAAGGTTGGGGATATCGTCGTTATCGTAGATCAAGATTTTGGAAGAAATATTTGGCCCAAAGGTATGGTAGTGAAATTATTTCCCGGAACCGATGGCGAAACACGTGTCGTAGATGTGGAAACACCTATTGGAACCTACAAAAGACCCCTAACGTAATTGCAGATTCTAAATGTATCAGCAGGAACTTAAGTAATGACTAAAGTGCATTACTGAGGCGGAGTGTTGCTGCGTTATTATTTATACTTAAGTACTTACTTTAAATACTTTATTTATTTTGTTTTACTATGGCGGAAGTCATAGGTGTTTTAGTGATAACTAGAATAATATTTTTTGACATAAGTTTGAAATGTAATAAAACCACGTCAATAAAAAATAAAAACTACTTTGGAAGATATTTTTTACGGCTTTAAAATAAAAACCTTCTGAAACTATTAAAGGCAGTTTCATACTGTATTTTATTCTATTTTCTAGTTTTATGTTTTTATCATATTTTTATTTTATTTACTTGTATTTTGACGAATCCCATACAATTGTATTGTCTTATGAAAAATAAAATTTATTTATTTATATTTATTAATATTGTAATTATAAAACGGTATGTGAAATAAGGATTATTTATTATTCCAGGTGTGCAATATCCATGTATCTACCACGATTCTGGTTGTAATGAAATCGGTTCCTCGAATTATATGGTGAAACACGAAAGTGAATGTCTGTTTAAACCGTACAATTGTCCATTTCCCAGCTGTACTTCGACTGGAAACCACGAAGCTGTTATACATCACTTGATAAATTTCCATTTCGATTCTTGCATATACTCGGGCAATTCTGGCTACACGGACTCTTTCCGTTTAGATCAAAACAACTGCTACAATAAAATCTTCGACAGAAAATGCATTATTGCCTACAATCACATATTCAGGTTGACGTGTAAGAGGGTAGCAGAGCATTGTCTGATGGCTGCTGAGATAGTTGGCACCAAGAATGATTCTAAAACGTTTATATACGAAGTATCCATAATTGATATGAGAAGACCCGAGAAGAAACTGATAAGGACTGATTATTGCTTAAATGAAATGGCCGAAGACGAGTTGTTCAAGAAGTGTATTATGTTTCCGAATAGCGTTTTATCTGCCTATTCGAATCATGGGATGATTACATTTAATATTACAATTAGAGAAAAATAGTTTTTTTTTTAATTTTAACAGTTAAACAGTTTTTGTATTCTTTTATTTAGTTATTATAATTAACTTGAAAGTCCTATTATAAAATATACAAAAAAAATTAAATATTACCTGAATAAAAACTATTAATACCTTAGACTACGTAATTCGTATATCAGACGGGCGCTGCGGATTGCGACCATTTTTTTGGTGCCAGAGAAGCTGTGGTGTATTTTTTGTATTTAGAGCCTTTTTTGTGATAAGTTAAGAAAATACAGTTATTATTAAGATTGCATTGGTTGTGAAAATAGGGAAGACGGAACTCCACATTATTTATTTATCCTAACAGGCCTATTGGCCTAATTACAAGGATAATTACTATTAAATAATTACAATATACGTGCCTACCACAATTTACATAATTTTGATACCAGAACACCATGAGATCAAATAACATTACTTGCTTAAATGGACATGTTTGTAATTTGTTTAATAATATTTTTTTTTAATGTATTATATTTCTCATACCAGTCTATATCTTCTAAATTATTTATACCGTTGGCTAAGCGAAGAATGATCAGGAGGGGAGCTCTGGATGTAATCGTGGCAAAAGGAACAATAAACATATTTGAGTTACGCATGGGACGTGATGGAACACAAAATGGTATTAGGGCTAACAGATCTGAAGAACATATTTGATTATTGATTATTTTATACAAAAATAAGGTGCATGTGATTTTGCGTCTAGTCTCAAGAGAAGGTATTTTAAAATATATTCTTAATTGTGATGTTCTAACAACATTGTAATCAGGTCTAATATGAAACTTTTTAAAGTAAAGATATCTTAAAAATTTATTTTGTATTTTCTCTAATTCTTGTAAAATGATTTGGTAATTTCCAAGCCATATAATTGAAGCAAACTCTAATTTTGAACGGATTAACGAAATATATAAAATTATTAACAAATTAATATCAGAAAATGGCTGCGTTTGTCTCATTAAAAATCCCAGAGCACGATTTGCTGCTTTACAAGTATTCTCAATATGCGTAGAGAATGATAATTTAGAATTGAATGTTACTCCCAAATTTTTAACTTGAAAGCACTTTCTTAATGACACTTTCCATTTGATAGTCAAATATAATCGGTTGCTTTTGCCGGGTAATAGTCATATAATAACATTTGCTGGTGTTAAATTCCGATTTACATTTTTGACTCCATTCGTTTATAGCATTTATATCTTTTTGCAAAGAAACGCAATCGCGTACTGTTTGAATTTGTTTATAAATTTTAAAATCATCAGCAAAAAGTAAGCATCTCGAGTATTTAATCACTTTTGGCAGATCATTGACAAATAACAGAAACAATAATGGGCCTAAATTGGAACCTTGCGGCACTCCGGAAACAGCACCGAATCTGCTAGAAGTATTACCACAGCTTAACAATGCAGCTAAAACACTCTCTTGGCGGCAACGGTTTGCGTCGATTTCGTCGCGCATCGCTTAAGCTCCGCCTTCGAAGGGAAAAGACGGTTTTGGTGTTCAGAAGCGTATTTAGGTAAGGTGTTGAGTCGTGCGTATAATTTCGTTGATTGTATAATTTCGTGGAGCCTATAATTTCGTTGATTGTATAATTTCGTGGAGCCTATAATTTCGTTGATTTTGTTTTAGTTAAAGGTACTGTTATTATTTTGGTGACTCTTTAGCTATGAGTAGAATGAGTGAAAAACAAAGACATCATTCTGTTTGTGCAGTCAAAAGCTGTTTTAATAAGGGTTATACCTGCAAGAAAACATTCTTTAGTTTTCCCAAGGACCCAAACCGATAAGTACAACATTATAAGAAATTTTCATTGTTAAAAATATAATTTATACAGGGTATCCCATTAGTGCGTTATTGTTCATTATTTTGTTGTAGACACGCAAGAAAGTTTTAAATAAAAGTTATATGGATTTGAAAAATACCTACATATTTTAAAAATATCTTTGGATATACAGGGTGTCACGTTTTTGCCTGGCAAATTAAAATGTATGTTTTTTAAATGGAACACCTTGTATTTTATTTTATGATAAAATTATTAACTCCCTAAATTATTGTAAAGACGAATTGATACAGAAAAATTTTATCAGGTATGTGTGTGGTTACCTTTTAATAAAAGCCTTGCGGATCCACTCCTCTGCGATACCTGTCTTAAATATAACAAAGATCACGTTGAATTAGATGATTTTTCTTTTTATTGCTTTTTAAAGGCATATGATAACGCCAATCCAGATACATTTGGAAATCTGCAACTGTCAAATGATGAATTTGTAGAACTAATATTCAATATTGAAAAGATATTTCAAAATAATTTTGAAGAATTGGCTACAAAAAATAACATTTGTACCACACTTTTAGAATTAATTAACCCAATACCCTTTAGTCATCCATGCTAACGTTTTCCAAAAGAATAACTTATTTTATTGTATGTTTAATCTCAATAACTAAAAAATATACTGACAATTAGTTTGACAGAATTGTCATTTATTTAAAATTTTAAAAATAATAGCAGTCGGTTGATCAAAATATGAACGGTGATTGGCGAATTTATTTTTTTTTGCAGTGTTCTCACTACCTAGAATGGATATGAAATATATTCGTTCAATTGAAGGCAATAGCATACTTTTTCGTTTTGTAATCTGTGCATGGATATTAGCCAATCTATGCACATACTACAAAACGAAAAAGTATGTTATTGCGTTCAACTACGAATATATTTCATATCCATTTTAGGTAGTGAGAACACTTTAACAAAATAAATTAAATCTACAAATCACAGTTCATATTTTGGTCACCCAACTCCTATTATTTAAATTTTTTTAAATAAGTGACAATTCTGTTAAACTAATTGTCAATATATATTTTAGTTATTGATATTAAATATACATTAAAATTTTTGTGTAGACTCGATAAATAATAGCATTTTTGTTTTTATTGTGTCCACATTTAAAAAAAAAAATAAATTTTAATCAAACTACATGATACTAATTTAATTACGAGTATTAAAACTAAAGTCCTGAAAGTTTCGGTGAAGATGAGGACAGAGCATCTGCCTTCCACGCGAAAAGCCCGGGATCGAATCTAGGCCGAGGACTAATTAATTTTTCATGTTAATTTTATTTTATAAATTAGTCAACTTCGTAAATTATTTTAAAATTAGTTATTTTGTCTAAATTGTAATGTATGGTAAATGAATAGTTACAATTGTTACACCGCGCCCATCTCTAGTGCATTGTTTTGATATCTTGTGTATGTACGAATGCGACGGCCGATGCGCGCAGGAATTTTAGGCAGTCGCATTTGGCAAATTGTAATGAGTGACACGTGAATAAAAGGGTTATTTGGTTACCGGTGTTTTAGTATCCCCGATTTTTCAGTGGCGACGACAGAAAATATTAATAATTGTATTTATATCGGTTCGCGGGCGATAATAATTAAATCATAAAAACATTCAGTACCCGGGTACCTATAATAAACTTTTTGATAAGTTTTTTTTTTTAAGAGATTTCATAGACAAAATGCCGGACGTTCCGTCGAATATCGGTTTAAATTTATCATTCAATCCGAGGACGGGTGAGTGGACAGTGTTCATCAAAAGGCTCCAGCAATATTTTATAGCAACGCAAGTCACGGATAATAATGTTAAAAGGGCAGTATTGTTATACAGCCTAGAAGATGAGGCTTTCAAGCTCCTAAAAGACTTATGTGTTCCAAACGAACCCGAAGCGTGTTCATTTGCAGATCTAGTAAAGTGTCTAGATGAATATTACGACAAGACGTGTGTGGTTTGGGTAGAACGAGCAAAATTCTACTCTGCACAAAAGCTAGAGAACGAGTCAGTTCAGGAATGGAATGTCCGCTTGAAGAAGCTAGCCAACACATGTGAATTTAGTCAACAATTGGACTCGATACTCAGAGATATTTTTATCACTAAATATAACGAGGGTAAAGTACGAAACGCCTTGTTTGGATTGAAGAAAGACACAACTTTTAAGAAGGCGTTAGAGGTAGCTCAGATTGAGGAAGCAGCCAGAGCGGGCTTGAAAGAAGTGCCGGAAGTTTACATTAAAAAGGAACCAGGAATTTCGGAGTTGGATGTGCACCAGATTAGCAGGGGGAGGCAACAGCAGTTTGATAGTGCCGGTTCAGTTCGGCACCAATACCGCGCAAACTCGTCCTCTCAAGGATCTTCCAGACAACAAGTTCCCAGTTTCGGGGCTTTTTCGAGGCAATCAAGAGATGGTAAATGGATTGGAGGAAGAGAATCAGCACGTGCTAGTGAGAGTGTTAGTGCTAGTGCGCTTAAGTGTTTCCGTTGTGGGAAAAATCACGTGGCGGCAAGATGCCCATATAAGGAATATATTTGCAACCTTTGTGGAGGTAGGGGTCACCTGCAGGCGGTATGTAAACAATCAAATCATAAACAGCTTAATTTTTTAGTTGATGAAATTGAATCAGAGACCGAATCACCTGTTTTGTGTTTAAAGTCTAACAGTGACGTACCTATTTGCATAGATATTGATATTGAGGGTAAAATGTTTAAATTTGAGTTGGATTCAGGGTCAGCCGTTTTAGTCTTGCCATATAGTATTTATAATACACATTTTAAAAATTATTCTTTAGCAGGAACCAAAATTTCATTAGTGAACTTTTCAGGTGACAAGATTAAACCTCTAGGAAAAACTGAACTACCTGTAAAATTCCACGATAAAGTCAATAATTTAGAATTTTATATCATGTCTAGGGACTGCCCATCCTTGCTAGGAAGAAATTTTATTAGACATTATAATCTGGGGTTTAAAGAATTAAATTACATAAACCAAGACTGGGTTGGCAAAATAACCCAAAATTACTCAAATGTTTTTTCGGAAAAACTCGGAACTTTCAATCGTTTACAATTAAAGCTTTATGTACGCGCCGACGCAGTACCAAAATTTGTTAAACCTCGCCCTTTGCCTTTTAGCTTGCGGGATAAAGTAGAAGGGGAG